ATACCAGTACTGCTATAACAGTGCAGGAGGTGTGTGTGTGTGTGTGTGTGTGTACACGTGCACATGCACAAACATCCTGCTCAACAACGCTCCACAGGTATTCATTAAACGGCACAAGTTCCAACCTGAAGTAAAGGCAGTGAATGTAACATGAATCGAAGACCAGTGTGTGTTCTTCCTCCATTTCCCAGATTCTAGAAAAATCATCCCCCAGCTAACAGACATGTATAAACAACACCCCCCTCATCTGCGCACCTGCACCCTCAACACCTGCATACTTGCTATATACTGTCACCTTTTGCTCGTTTGACTGGAAATCCAAACAAATATGTTCTTGTTTTTTGGGAAATCCATTACTGACTATGTATTTCTTTCATTTGTAAAAACCACAAAACCGCTGCTCCTTCAGAAGCCTCCATCATGCATATGGATGGATATTAATGCCAGTGGCAGATATGGGACTGATACATCAAGGCAAGGCAAGTTTATTTGTATAGCACAATTCACCAACAAGGTGATTCAAAGTGCTTTACAGAGACATTAGAAACACAAACAAATAAAAAGCATGATTTAAAATTGATTAAAACAAGCAAACAAACTAACTAACTAATTAACAAACAAACAAACAAAACAGTATATAAAATCAAAACAGATAAAATCAGTAGTTAAAATGTAAGTTTTGAAATTTAAGCTTAAAAGTGTGGATTTGGTGCTTTATTCAAATGCAGCTGAGAACAGGTGAGTCTTCAACCTGGATTTAAATAAACTGAGTGTTTCAGCTGATCTGAGGCTTTCTGGGAGTTTGTTCCAGATATAAGGAGCATAAAAGCTGAATGCAGCTTCTCCGTGTCTGGTTCTGACTCTGGGAACTGATAAAAGACCGGATCCAGATGACCTGAGGGATCTGGAAGGTTCATACTGGGTCAGGAGGTCACTGATGTATTTTGGTCCTAAACCATTCAGAGCTTTATAGACCAGCATCAGAACTTTAAAGTCTATCCTCTGACGGACAGGCAGCCAGTGTAAAGACCTCAGAGCTGGACTGATGTGGTCCACTTTTTTGGTCTTAGTGAGGACTCGAGCAGCAGAGTTCTGAATGAGCTGTAGTTGTCTGACTGATTTTTTAGGTAGACCTGTAAAGATGCTGTTACAGTAATCAAGCCTACTAAAGATGAATGCATGGACTAGTTTTTCCAGGTCCTGTTGAGACATCAGATCTTTTATCCTTGAAATATTCTTGAGGTGATAGTAAGCTGACTTTGTTATTGTCTTAATGTGTTTTTCTAAGTTTAGGTCTGCATCCATCACTACACCCAAATTTCTCGCCTGGTTTGTGGTTTTTAGTGTATAGATTGAAGTTCTCTGGTGACCTGTAATCGTTTTTCTTTGGCGCCAAAGACTATTACCTCAGTTTTGTTTTTGTTTAGCTGGAGAAAATTGTGGCACAACCAGTCATTAATTTCCTCAATGCATTTACCAAGAGCCTGTACAGGGCCTCGGTCTCCTGGTGACATTGTGATATATATTTGTGTGTCATCTGCATAGCTGTGGTAGTTTATTTTGTTGTTCTTTATAATCTGTGCCAGTGGGAGCATGTAGATGTTAAACAGAAGGGGTCCCAAGATGGAACCTTGGGGAACTCCACATGTGATACTTGTCTGCTCAGATGTGAAGTTACCTATTGATACAAAGTATTTCCTGTTTTCTAAGTATGTTTTGAACCAGTTTAGTACAGTTCCTGAAAGACCTGTCCAGTTCTCCAGTCGTTTGAGTAATATGTTGTGGTCAACTGTATCAAATGCTGCACTGAGATCCAGTAAAACTAGACTGACATTTTTCCACTGTCTGTATTCAGACATATGTCATTAAACACTTTGGTCAGAGCGGTTTCAGTGCTGTGGTTCTGTCTAAAACCTGACTGGAAGGCATCTAGCAGTTATTCTGTTTTAAGAAGTAATGAGCTGTTGAGAAACTGCTTTTTCAATGATCTTACTTAAAAATGGGAGATTTGAGATCGGCCTGTAGTTGTTCATTTGTGTCTTGTCAAGATTGTCCTTTTTCAGTATAGGTTTGATTACAGCAGTTTTTAGTGATTCTGGAAACACACCTGATAATAAAGAAAAGTTGACGATCTGTAACAGGTCTGACTCTAAAGTCTTTGAGACCTTTTTGAAAAAACTTGTTGGCAGGACATCTAAACAGCAGGAGGAGGAGTTCAGTTGACCTAAGATGTCCTCCAGGTCTTTGCTGTTAATGGTTGAAACTGTTTCATGGTGTTTAAACAGTTTTTTGGTGGACACAGTACATATCCTGGATCTGCTGTTGATGTACCAACTGCTTGTCTAATCTTTTGGATTTTGTCTGTGAAGAATTTGGCAAAGTCATTGCAGGCCATGGTTGAATGAAGTTCAGCTGCCACTGACACAGGAGGGTTTGTTAGCCTGTCAACTGTAGAAAATAAGACCCGAGCATTATGGCTGTTTTTAGTGATGATGTCAGAGAAGTAGGACCTCCTTGCACTCCTCAGCTTGTAAATTATAATTGTGAAGTTTCTCTTTATAGATGTCATAATGAACCTGGAGGTTTGTTTTTCTCCATCTGCGCTCAGCTTTCCTACACTCTCTTTTTTCATTTTTCACCAGTGTGGAGTTTCTCCATGGAGACTTTTTCCTTCCAGAGATAACCTTCACCTTAATGGGAGCAATAGTGTCCATTACATTTAACATGTTAGCATTGAAGCTATTGACGAGCTCATTGACTGACCTCTGGACAGGTCAGGTGTTAATGGGAAGACCTGGTTAAAGATCTGCACTACTGTCTTCAGTTATACACCGTTTTGTGATCACTGCTGTTGATATATTTGTGTGGGCTGAGATTTTACTTTCAAAGAAAACACAGTAATGATCAGACAGGCCCACATCAGACACAGTAATGTTTGAAATGCTCAGGCCTTGGAGATCAGTAGGTCAAGAGTGTGTCCTCTATTATGTGTGGCCTCTGTTACATGCTGAGTCAGCCCAAAGTTGCCCAGAGTGTTACTCAGGTCTTTAGTCCCTTTGTCCTGAGGGTTGTCCACATGGATGTTAAAATCCCCAACAATAATTACACAGTCGAAATCAACACAGATCACAGACAGCAGTTCACTGAGGTCATTAAAAAAGTCTGTGCAGTATTTGGGAGGCCTGTAAACATTAAGAAACACAACTTTGGATGGGGCCTTCAGCTGTAAAGCCACATATTCAAAAGACTGAAAACTTCCAGGAGACAGCTGCTTACATTGAAATGATTCATTAAATAAGACAGCAACCCCTCCTCCTCTCCTGCTCGCCCTGGACCTCACTGATAAAACTGTAGTTAGGAGGGGTCGTCTCGATGAGAACAGCTCCACTGTTACTTTGGTCCAACCAAGTTTCAGTTAAAAACATAAAATCAAGGCTGTGCTCAGTGATTAAATCATTAATTAAAAATGTTTTCCCAGCTAAAGATCTAACGTTTAATAAAGCCAACTTAAGTGTTTTAGAGGTATTACTTGTCCCCTCGTGTTTGGGAGCAGTCTGTGGCACACAAGCTATGTTTACTATGAATTTCTAGTAAAGTGCTTCATATGGAGCTGTCCAACTGAGAGCAATCATTGTGACACATTGTGTAAAAGAGTTTAGAGATTGAAGTAAAGATGATTTAATGCCATTTTAATTCTTCTCTGAACCTTATCTTTAAACTTTCTTTGTGATTAAATTAAACTTGAATGAAAAAGATGAAATACAAAGGACACCAGCCCTCACATCAATGAAAATCGTGACTTTAACTCAAAATCCAAATGAGTATTTCCTTGTACATTTGTAAATATTTTGTAGCCAGCAGCTTTAGCCTGCTGTGGTTTCTTGGTCCTCTGAGGAGGACAGGATCTTCTAGTCACCAGAGCCAGTATTTCTGCCACGATACCTCTGCAGCAGCTCAATACTGGGATGGTCCCACCCCATCTCTCTCACCACTCTCATTTGTGTTCATTACCTTGGTTTGAGCTCTCATGTTGATGATAATAGTAATAATTATTATTATTGTTGGTAGAAGTAGTGGTATTAACTGATGTAAGAAAACAATGTCTCCCAAATGTGCGGTTAGACATGCTCACCGAGCTTATTAGAACCTAGAAATTCAGGTTTACTCGTCTGCTGGTAATAAGAAGGGGCCAGGTTGGTAGCAGGTTGGCCTTATTATGAAGAAAAGCCATAAGTAAGAGGTCAACTTAATCCACTTATTGCTAACTCCAGCTACAGGAAGCAGCAATAACAATATCTTGGCACAGGGCTGACTTGACACAGGCGCGGTTGTGATAAGGTGAATGTAGCACATTCATGAATCAGACATTATCCAGATAACATATGTAGAAATAGCTGCAGAACAAATAAAAAGGCAGAATTTTCTCACAGCTGTCTCTTGAAATGGGTGTGAATGTTACTGATTTGTTACAATTGAGTGATCCAATATTTAAAAATGGCTATTTGAAGTTTTGAATTTTGTCTTTTATACATTCCTCAGTTCCTGTTCTGGTAAATGTTTTACTCTTTTTTTTTTTTAACCCTTTTTCGTGTACTTCCTGTTTTATTTTGACATTTTGATTCCCAGTGCTGTTTCCTTTGTTTTTACTTCTCATGCCCATTAGTCTGACTGAATTCAGCTGTTCCAAATCATTGTTTGATGGTGTTGGAGTTTCCTGTTGTGCTGCACAGTGCACATCGCAAGTGTAAGTCAAAATAGGTTTTTCTCTGTTTATCAAACTAGTGTTGATTTAGCCGTCAGTAATTTTCTCCTTTAAGATTTTAATTATATATTCAAAGTCAAAACAAATGAAAATACAAGTTTGAACACATATGGCTTACAGCCTGGTGCCTTATTCTGAACTCCTCTTAAAAAACAAACCAAACAAACATATTTTGAGTCAGTAGTCAGTGGCCACCTTTCTTTTGAAATACATAGGATGCTAAGATTGTCTTTTATAAGTGATACTTTGATGTAACAGACAGGTTTTGTTAGTCCAAATGACCATCCTTTCCTTAAGTAGGTCGGATGAGCTGATCTGAGTATTTTATGAACTCGGATCAACTCAAAACAGCCATCTCCAGGTTATTCAGGGAATTGTCAAAAAACCATATATAGTCTATAGCGAGCAATCATATGTTGTTAATGTCTGGGAGCATGTGCAGACTGCTTTGAGCTACAGTAACTCAATAACCCCTCGTTACAACAAAGGTATGCAGAAGAGCATCTCTGAATGTCCAAAACATTGAAACTTGAAGTAGATGGACTGTTGCAGCAGTTAACCACAGTAAACTGAGGCTCCAGTTGGCGCTGGCTCACCAACACTGGACAGTGGAACTATAGGAAAATGTTGCCTGGTCTGATGAGTTTTGATTTTTGGATCAGAATTTAGCGAAAACAACATGAAAAGATCCGTCCTGTCTTGTATGAGTGGTTCAGACTGGTGCTGTCACAATGTAGGGGATGTTTGCTTGGCACGTTTTGGCCTCTGAATACCAACTGAACACTGTTTAGATGTCACAGCCTACATGGTTATTGTTGCTGACCACATTTATCCCTGTGAGACCACAGTCTTCCAGAAGCATAACACACCATGTCACAAAACTCGAATCATCTCAAATTGGCTTCCTGAACTTGACGGTGGACGTGCAGCTGCAACTGTGCTGCTATGGTGGCAGTACGAACCAAAATCTGAAAGGAATATTTCTAGTACTTTGTCAGATCTACGCCATGAGAAGGGCAAGCAAAGAATGTAGGATTTCTAAAGGACAAAGGGGTTCCAACCCAGTATTAACAAGGTCTACATGAGTAAATGTGTAATTCAAAGGTAGATCATTACAATGACTGATGGATATAAAAATATGTACCAGGGCTCGCAAAAATCGCTGGCCCGACGTCCCGGAGCTAGCGACATCTCCGGTCGGGTGACCAAAATCTATCTCAGCCCCACCCGACGGCTTATCATATAGCCCGACGGCTTTTATATAGCCCGAAGGATTATCATATAGCCCGACGGGCGGGGCTGAGATAGATTTTGGTCACCCGACCGGAGATGTCGCTAGCTCCGGGACGTCGGGCCAGCGATTTTGCGAGCCCTGTGTACATTATGAAGTGCATACCCAAACCTTTTGGTGACAGTCCTGGCCCTGTATCCTTTCTCGTGCATATGGCAAACATTTAAAGTTATTTCATTAAAAAAGACTCGTCATGCTCTGTAACAGGATATTTTAGATATCAACAGCCACAAATGGAAAGTCGTAAAACTTATCTTAAGTCCTGGAAACTAGCCCAGAGATTTTTGATTAGTGACTGCATATCAGGGATATCCAGCTCCAGGTCTTGAGTGCCGGTGTCCTGCAGGTTTTAGATCTCGCCCTGGGTCAGCACATCTGAATCACATGATTAGTTCATTAGCAGGCCTCTGGAGAACTTCAGGTCATTTAGCCATTTAAATCAGCGGTTCAGGACACAGCACTCGAGGCCTTGAGTTGCCTGTGGTATACAGTGTGGATTTAGTTCCTCAAAACGTAAATACAGAGTAGCGATGAAGTGATTCATCTCGCCTCAGAGTCAAGAGCCTCTAGGGCTGTGATGACGAAAACTGAACCTACACATTTGTTTCCATTTAAGGTTGTTGTGGTCATACAAATGAAAATAGGACTCACACAGGCGTACATGCCCACACAGATGTAAGTGGAGGATGATTTTTGTAACACATTCTGCTGCTTGAGTGATGTGTTCAGTGAAGGTGCCACAGCCACATTTACCACAACTGCTGTTTTGAAGTTTGCCCCTTCTGCGAGTGCCTCAGTTTGACATACTGTCTCGCAGTATTCGAGATGCTGTTTGGGCACTGAGCCCTATAGCAATTATTATAAACCAGGAGAAAGGACAGATCTTCTGAATCAACTGTAATCTGTATTAATGGGTATCTGCATTAGAATTTGTCAGCAGGAGGCTGAAGTTAGGTACCAGATGCTTCTTGCTTCATTTGCATTTGTAGTAAAAGTTTTGCTGATCAGTAATGTCTGAATGACTCTAAACGGTCTTTGTGGACAGCAAGAGAAACTTATTGATGACTGCACATGAAACAGCAAGTTTTGGTATACATAGACTCTTTATTTACCCTGAAGGAAATTTACATCCATTATCCAGATATCCACCAGCTACAGTGGCAGCCACTAGAGATTTTAATGCTCCAATAATGCTCTGTGGCATGTTGTCACACTGCTGAAGTCTGTCTAAGTTAAGGTTTAGCAGAAAATTGCAATCTATACTTTTTATACTCAGGAATTGTCCCTCACTTCTGGTTGATTTTTATTTCACTGTTAGAAACGTAAGGTTGGTTTATCACCTTCAGAAATATTCCAGAGGTGTTTCTCACAGATGGAGCTGAAGATGGAGCTCTGCTTGGCCCTTGTGTGATCAATGATCTCTCTCACTTAAAGAAATAGACACAGTAAAATTGTAATACATGAAGTGACTCCTCCTGTTTCTTGGGAATTCTAGTTTCTGTTGATCTGTGTTTTGCTATCATTTTACATTGACAACACCCTTCTGAGTGTCTCTTCTACACAGTCATCACATTGTATTAACTGGTCACATGGGTTGGGTAGTGACTTGCTGCACAGTCGGGTACGGCTTTACAGGTGACATTCTCTGCAGAATAGCTAAAATGCTTTGCGGGAAAATGCCACTCCAGTTCGTCATCATTATAAGTTGTTCTCCGAAAATGTCTGACAGAATTGTTTCAACACCTAAACAAAGTGGCACCTTATTAGTATGGCAGGCCCATGACACACAAGGCAGACTCACAGTCGGTCAGCCGACAAGTTATTGAGGCAGTAAAATCAGCAGTGGAAGTGTGGGGGTGTTGCACAGCACAGGCCAACTGTCAGCCAAAAAAGGTTTCAGAGAAAGTATCTGTAACTGAGCTCCAAGAGGAGCTCATACTGGTCCCAGGGCTGTGTGCTGAAGGTTGTTGTTGCAGACTTTTGTTAAATTTGATTGCAAATAATTTATGTTTGTCCATTGTGTTATGTTGCAATGCAAAAACGACATTCTCATTATAAAGTAGTGTTTCCAGTTAATATTTGTACAGCTGCTGTTATTGTGTATATATTTATTTATATTTCTTCATACATTCTTATATAGTTCTATATTGTGTATTTTGTTGTACAGTTATTTTATTTTCAATTTAATTTATATATTTTATCTTTTTCTTTCCCAGTTAAATTTACCCTTCATTCTAATTTGTGTTGTACAGTTATTTCATTTTTAACCTTAATTTATATTTTATTCCTTCCTAGTTAAATTTACCCTTTTTAATTTTTCATATTTATTTCCTATCTTATTCATAGCCTTTTCCTTTTTTGTTTTTTTTCTTTAGGTCACGAGCAGTTGTCCAAGCATTTCACTACATATCGTACTGTGTATGACTGTGTACGTGACAAATAAAATTTGAATTTGATTTATTTTAGTGAATGGTCAAGACTAAACATTATTTCAATGTTGTATTTGTTGGAGGGCTTTGATGTCTACATGCTCTCAGAAAATGTTTAAATTATGAATATGAAAAGTCCTGCGTTGAACCTAATTTCATGTTTAAGAAAGTGTCCGACATAATTCTTTGGATGCTGCAAACTGAGCGTGCAGCTTTTAGCCTTACACGCTCAAGTGCTTTACAAACTATTTAGGAAGCTAGCTATCAGTTAGCTTAGCACAAACACTGGAAATATTTGGACTCATGGTTTGCTTAGTTTTTACTGTTGAGTTCACTGACACTGAAGCGTGTGCACTCTTGCTGCTAGAGGTTGACTTGTAGCCCATTTGACAATCATTAGCTGTAAAGCAAAATGCCAATTGTGACTTTTAAGCCCGTGAAGCCATTAACAAGTGTTTCTTTGTGGAGCTGGCATGCTTTCCCTGTGCCTGTGGGGGTTTTCTCTGGGCCTTCTTCCTACACACCAAACACATACATGCTAGGTTTTTGATTCTAAATTGACCATGGATGTGGAGTAGACAAAGTGCTTGGAAGTATACAAAATACAGCTCTTTATGAAGGTATGGTCAAATGTGGTCGAGGACTAAAGCACTTTGAGAGGTTGGTGCAACTGGGGGGAAATGGATGTTTTTAAACACAAGAACATTTATATCTGTTTCAGTTTTTACACGCTTTTAATCCTGCTGTCCTAGCACCTCATCAGGTCATTGTGCTGTGAAAATTGGATTACAAGCTTGAAACATAATCACGTTTACTTATTATTCTTGTTAAATTTCAGTGTACTAAATATGTACAAGTATACCAAAATGAATAAAAATGAGTGCAGCATTAAATATGGCAGTTTTTAAGGAATGTAGATAATCAGGAGTCTTTAACTACCAAACAACTGTTTAAAAAAAATAGACACTGAGGCAAAATGAAGTGTAAGCAAGTGTTGCTGCTTGTTTGTACCTTTGTGGACCTGGTTAGTCCTGTTGATAAGGAGTGGTGTTTCTCACTCATACATCTTTCTCTTGTGCTTTCTAGTCAGGTTTCGGCTGCCTAAAGGCCTAGTCTGAAGTTAAGGTGTGTGGGGGTGTGTGTCTGTGTGTGCGGATTTGTTGCAAGGGGGCTCCAAAAGAGGCGGTCCTGATGCTGCCTAACCTGTTTGCCTGCATTATAGGTATTCAACTGGCAGCTTCACCTCGTCCTGCCCACAGAGCAGCAGTGATACACTGAAGAGGAGACATCTGGCCCTAGGCTTTCCTAAGGAGACGGTGTCTTTGGCACACGGTAAGCCCATCAAACCTCAGTTTGGTTGTTATGGCACAATCTATGATTGGAATAAATTGGAGGAGATTTGATAAAAAAAAAACCAAACCTTAATGTTTATTCATTTCAAAATCTAAAAATTGGATTTCAGTAAAATGTACATTGTAGTTGGTATAGGTTCATCTCTGTACTTCACATCAGTTACATTTATGTTTTCATTCGAGTACTGAGACTGACCCCCGTCCTCTCACAGACTTGGGTGGAAAGTCTGAATTAATACTGAAGCCATTTAAGGATGAGGCGTTTGCTTATGTTTTGCCTCTGGTGTCATTGATTTTTTTTTTAAACGTATTAAATTGTTGTACTTGTATGTCAGCACCAAACTGCAGAGTTTGTCTAGCGTAAAGATTTTAAAACAGGTTGACCACAACTGTGGGCATGCCAGACTCTGCTGTCACCGGGCTCACACCCTGTTTGATTGAAGTTGTTTCTCAAAACGTTGCCACCCTGGATACACCTATTAACGGCAATGCAATTAGTTTTTTAAGAAGTGTCTTGTGACTTCACTGCCTTTCCTGTTTATTGCTCATCGCTGGTTTGGGGAACCATAAGGTAGAGCCTAAAACCACTGCCCAGTTTCCTTGCAAGTCAAGAATGCCTGAAACAGCATCATTGAGCACATGACTACAGTTTTCTGAGCTCTCACTGAAGAATTAGATTTATCTACTGCTATCTGGTTATTACCTGGTTAGTAGTTTCTATATTTAAAGAAAGAGAACTCCTGGGATGGACTGTGTTATCACCAGTGGGTGTTGGCCAATAATAATCAATTAGCAGTTCGTTTTGTAAGTATTGTTTTGTTTTTTTCAGAAGTCCTGTTTGTGTTTCAATTTGAGTGACTGTTTTTACCACATCTGATTTCTTTTTTGAGTTGAATTTAAAAGCATGGTGTTGACGATCGTCTGACTCTGAGCTCTGCTGGACAGTATAAACCTGATGAAGCAGACGCTCTTGAGTTTAGGGTTTTTATCACAGCATGTCTAAAAGCTGCTCCCTCATTTTCTATTCGACACTGCTGCAAGTGAATTACGTTAGTGTTTATATGCGAATGTGTTGAGGTGTGGTCGAATCCAGTGTGTGTCAGTCAGAATGCATCCAAACCAACTGGTTTAGATGCCTACATACACCTTAACAAACCTGGCAAAGGCTTTAGATTCCTGAAGTGTGAGACAATGTGGTTTGTGGGCGTCAGAGTTTCTCTGTCAGTTCAGAATCAGGAAAAAATGAATAAAAGTACCAGCTCTTCTTTAAAAAAACAAAACGCGTTTCACTTGTGTGTCTTCATGTGGATCGTATTATCAGGTATTACAAAAATGTTATTGCACGGGTAGAAACAGTGACACACTATTTTTTAGCTGCACCTACAGTATACCTAAACCAGTGTTTTTATTAATAAGCTGAAAGCTGCATGTTGCTGCATTGTTTGTGATGAGAGATCAGAAAGAGTACAGCTTTTAGAAAAAATAAAATGATCTGATTTTACTTTTACCTACAAAAACGACATTCAGCATTGCTTCCCTGCATCTTACTTAGTCGGTGTCAGCTTTAAGTAAAAGCTCCCTCTGCTTTCTTTTGTGTTTCACAGATAATATTGCTGTAGTTCCCACATTCGCTTGAATTGTCATATGAATTCTGTGATGTGGATGTGCATGTAATAGAAATAATGGTAAGTATAACAATGTTAGACATACAGTGGCTAACAATCATACACAAAAATGTAAACAGTGCCTGATGTAAAAATCTCACACTGTGTATTCTAACCACTGTCAAAGGACCAGGACAGCAAGAGTGCAAGCTTCTCAGAAAGCCTCGTGCTGGATAACGCTGAGAAAGGAGTTGTTGTTGCAGGAGTCAAAGACAACACAATCTCTCCAAAAAGTGGTAAGATAAACATTTCAGATTCATTTTTGTTAGTTTTGAAAATTCAATAAGCACTAATAGAAAAAAAGAATGTGACATTATTTCTGCTCCTTTCAGGAGAAAGGTTTGTTGCAGCAACAATACAACTTGATAAACTTGAGAAAAACGATGTGGAGAAAATCTTGAAGGTGCTGGAGCCATACGAAAGCAACATAAATCTTCTGACAAAGAAGGACTTGAGCCCCGGTGTTGACCTTGGCTCTTTGGGAGTAGGTCTCAAAGATTCGGCAGCGGTAAGCATCAAGCTGTGGGGAACATTTGGTTTATGTTATTATAGGAAACACCATAAAATATGTTTTTATTTATACATTTTTAAACCTTTTTGTGTATCAGAACTGTTGAAATATTGACTTTCAGTATTTCAATAAACTGTCAAATCACAATATATCTGAAAAGATATCCAGTTAGACATTAAATCCTTTTTCTAAAAACTGCATATGTGAAGCCTAAAATCCCCTACGTAAAAATCTTTTTCTCGAATCTGTTACCAAAATTAAGTAATAGTAAGCATATCAGTGCTTTCTAAGAAGACGGGTCAGTTTGCTTATTTCAACATACAATATATATATTTTACTGATGCAAGTGACCTAATGTATGGGGACGTTTTGTGAGGTGATGGTGATTTACTTAATCTAGTCCATCCTATTCGTCCATGACATCTTCTATTTCCCATTTCTACCCCCACCTTGCTGCAGTGCAGATGAACTGGACATGATTTGTGCTGCTCAGAATACAATTTTGGTTAATAGTCAGTTAAGTCAATAAAGTTAGTGCTTTAATTTGGTTTTTTTTAATTACCAACAGATATTACAGAAGGATCTGTCGCTGGATGCATCAGCTCAGGGACCAACCGTTTCCCTTGATGGCCTGAATGGAAAGCTTAATGATGCACAAGGGTTGGGGGTAAAAATAAGTGAACCGACTCTTAATGGAGACCTTCCCAGTCTTAGCCTAAATAAGCCATCAACTGATGCTGGTGCCACATTTAAAATGCCCTCCGCAGGGTTTACGATGCCAGACATAAAATCAGATTCAAGTGGAACCCTAGAAGTACCTGATATCAGTGTCTCAGCTCCCAATCTTAACACTCCCACTGCAACACTAGACATCAACAAACCAGAAGTCGAAGGCAAAATGAAACACAAGGCCCCGAAATTCACAATGCCACACTTCAATCTACCTGATCTTGATGCACCAAAAGCAGACATTGATGTCTCTGGTGATCCAGGTCTTCCTTCAGTCAGTGGAAGTATGGAGAGACCAGACCTCAACCTGTCAGCTCCAAAGTTAGATTTGAAAAGTAATGATTTGGAGCTGAATGGGCCAAAAGTGGATTTGAATAGTCCTGATGTAAATGTAAAGGCCCCAGATGCTAATATTGAGGCACCCTCAGGGAAAATCAAGTGGCCCCATCTAAAATGGAAAAGTCAAAAACTCAAAGGACCAGATGCCAACTTAAATGCTGACCTGTCCACACCTAATGCCAGCATTTCCACACCAAAGATTGATGGTGATCTAAGTACCCCAGATGTGAATGTTGGCTCAGCTCAAGCTGATATTAAAGGCCCTGATCTAGATGTTCAAACCCCAGATCTTAACGTTGATGCCCCTTCTGGTAAGATCAACTGGCCTCACCTGAAATGGAAGAAGCCCAAACTTGAAGGATCAAAAGCAGACTTGGACATGGATGCAGACCTAAAACAACCTGATTTAAGTCTTTCAGCTCCAAAGATTGAGGGTGACATTAATGTACCAAATGCTGAGCTGAGTCTTCCAGAAACAGAGCTAAAGGCCCCGGGTGTAGATGTTCATGCCCCAGACGCTGACATTGATGCTCCTTCAGGAAAAATTAACTGGCCTCATCTAAAGT